TTTTGTAAAGTTTCCCGAAGAATAAAATAGGATTCACTAATATAAAGACGTCTGAGTCCTGTGTTTAATTTTCGAACGATATTTTTGACAAATATATTTCAATTAAAATAGATTTATGAACTAATTTCCATACTTAGCCCCAACTAAAAATTGTAGTTCGAAGATCAAGTAAGAATGACGACAGTTGTAGTTGTAGACCAGATGAATGTATAACTCAAGCAGAACGCTTCAGTAAAACCTTAACTACCCAAATAAACGTAATTATTAAAATAAAATGCAGGCAGTTGCATCGTATGAACAGATGAAAGTATCCGGCGTATTTCGAGGCTACTCAGATACACAATTCAATGGTATAATGACACACAAAATAAATTAACTAGGATTTGAAAATTATTGTTCCAGTTCACGCTTATGAATACTAAGCCAGTGGGATGTAGACGGTATTAGAAATGTTGTTGGGGAACCACAATCTAGACAAATCTTAATATTCAAGCGTTGATTCTTAGAGATGTGATCAGTTATGGGTTTCATCACCAGCTGAAATCAGTCGAAGAACCACTAAAACGTTCGGGAGCACCGGACAGCGTTTCTTCCTGTTATGGGACTCCTTAATGGTACTCAACCGCCGGCGTTCGAAACCAAGACCTTCCAGTTACAAGGTAGGCTCGCAGATCATTCAGCCACTAGGATCCGATCCAATGATCCATGAATCGCTACTTCTGACAGTTCTCAATATATGTAACGTGACCACCAGCTAATGCAATAGGTGAGTAACTGTCTTCTTGCTAGACTTGGTGGGCCCCGCTTATCATTGGAACTCCAGCTAACTTCCAGTATGGAGCTAGTTTCTGGTTAGATCCAGATTAATTTTCAAGAGTTAATCTGAAGGTATTTATAATTCGCAGGTTTGGTCATGAGCTGATATCATTGGTTGTGGCAATATATATCGCGAATAGGCAGAAATTGCAACTCTTTGGCTACTGGATCGGGTACGGGTCACCGAACGGCCTACAAGCTTACTTTGTAACCAAAAGGTCCTGCCTTCGGACCCTAGTGGTTGTGCACTTCTGAGGAGTTCCAAACGAGGACAAAACTCCCGTCTAGTACATCCTAATGTTTTCGAATGCTTCAGTAATATATCATCAGTCCATTAAGTCATTATATTTTTGACTGACAGAAATTGGAAATCAATAGCAAATGAATTCCAATTCAATCCCTGGACAGTGTTCACCTACGTTCCCAACGATTCTGCAATAAATCCATCTCGGTGTTAATAAGATTTATAAACTAAGAAGAATCTGCTATTTGCCTACATTTTATTTCTAATGGCTTCGCATTTAATTTTTCTATTATCTTCGTCAATTGACGTTTTATAGTTAATTGTTTCTAATTACAGACAATCACGAATACAACTGCACAGAACCACGTTCTAAGTTTAACATCGCGAAATAATAAATCCATTAGTAACAAGTGAGCAGAATAATTTTGCACACAGTTACCCAGAACAGATAGTTTAAGTACCAGGCTAAGAGCCATACTTGTCGTGTGGAGGCTAATGATTTTACCTAGTTCCACAGCCTGAAGTAGATGCAGTGGGACTCCAAGCCGTGACCTATCGGCTGCGAAGTGATCAGTATAACTACTAACAAATTTTCCTGAGCTTATATTCTAGACACAAAATTCTTTTTTATATTATTTGGTCACATATTTCACAAATTTATCCTCCTTAATGTATCAAATATCACACACACCACAAACCACTCGAGCTTTTCAATTTTATTTATCTGCATTTGACCTGCTGCTGAAGGATTATATGTGTAATTACGATTCAGGTGTCAGCTGATGAATTATTTAACCCTAGAAAAAATATAGAAAAAGTGTAAACATTTTAAGGAAATAAGCTTGAAGAAACTCCTCATTTCTACTTATGCCACTACTTGTATATTTAATAAAGAATTTGTACTCTCTTTATCTTGCCTGCTACGTCCTAATAATAAACTGTAAATCCAGCTGTTCTTATTCAGACTTCTGTAACTACAAAACCAATACTTGAAAACTTCTGTAACTCTTTATGACGGTAGTGACGTGACATACATTGCATAAATAGTTAACACTAATGTGTTGTCAAGATAGCATATAATAACAAATCAAATAGTAGCAAAACAAGAAAAGTCAATATGCATCTCTAAGAGTTAAATTTAGGTTTGATTCCTTTATGTCTACATCTCTTATAATAAACCATAAAAAGTCTAAAAATGTCAGCCAGTGAGACAGACCAAACACACCCAAAGATAAAACCCTAAAGAAATTCATTAATTTTCAACAAACGTAATAAATATACATGCATGAATCCTGATTGCTAGACTTCACATCTGCATCCAAACTAGACGTGCTAACGGATTCGCGTTGTTGTATTCAAGTTCAAATGATACTTCAGAATTACAGATATCTTTGTAACCTCACGAGACTTTAACCATGTTCTGTTCGGTGATGATGGGTAGTACAGCAGTTTGATCGGAACATGACGTTTTTGCTTAATACAACCCATCTCAAAAGGTTTCCCACCCAGGAAGCTTTAATTCGCCCTATGTTGTGGCTTATCACCACGCTTCCGTTGAACAAGAACATAGTGTAGCGAAACTTTTTGCGTAAGTGGTTTGACGGGTTGTCCTTACTTCCAGTCGGTAGGTACCCACCATTCTTCCCACCCTTAAAATAGTGACATGAGCTTGTGAAGCTGCTAACTAATTAGTACTGAAGTCCAAATAATACCTATGAACCCTGATATTCCTATAACCTTAAGAGGCTTTATTATCCGTATTCACAAGGGTTTTTGCCTAAATTATTGCTAAGAATGGGTGATTAAGAACAAATTATGTGAAGAACTCCGAAAGGCAGTTGAACAAATTAGTCGAGTATTACAATATTACAATATATTACAACGCATAAAAGCTATAGGATTAGTAGCAATCATAAGACTACTCAGATGCGCATTTATGGCGACGATTGCTAGTACCTACATGCTACAGCCAGGCTTGCCAGATACACATTAAGTGGATACTACACCGCTGAATATGAAATAATCAAAAGACCGACAAGCACAACTTGATAACACGTCACACAGTAAAATCGTACTTATTCTAGACTTATCTCTTCATACGCCTCATATATATGATCCTGCAACGGATGAAGCGAAATGATAATAAGCTGTGCGTGTGGGATAAACAGACACAGGCAATCCCGCGTTACCAAACAACGTAAAGACTCTCAACAGGGAGAAGCTTGAGATCACTTAAATAACCCTACAGGACAATCACTTTACTGTTGTTGCATCCTGAGAATATCTGAATTGAGGGGACTTCCCTGCCCTTCCAAACACCTTCAGAACCAACTTATTCCATCTCAATATGCAATGCTAGTCAACTGTCATGTGGTCACGCAGTTGAAGTTTGGTAAATGGTTTTAAAATGCTGAGCTATTTACTGGAAACACGAATAACCCCTTAATACATAATCAAACCATCCCCTTGAAAACTGATGCCCACTACATACAAGATTAGGTGGATTTAGGCCGTCCTTTCGTGAATTTTGAGAAATCGCACCAGCGTGTATGGAAAAAGTCTGCACTTCTCATATATCAATTCCTACGTCAGCTACAGCAGAACATTGTAGAATTGTTTACTGTGGGAGCAGGCTGAACTGTCAGTTAACTGCCATCACAGAATGTGAACACCTACAAAATTCATCACTCAACACAGTCACGTCTTACCCACCTAATCCTTACCCAGAGAAACGACACTGTCGAAGGCGCGGATAACTATAAAGTACAGCATTCCCGAGACTCTGCATTATAAAACTGTAAGTGCCTATTATTTTGGGATTGACAACTACAGGAGAGACGTCATATCACACTATTGAACTTACCTATGGTAGAGTAAATATAACCCAGATAACCAGGTGGTTGGAAAACTAGATGTGTCATACAGAAGAACGCTAACATAGCTTGCTGATCACACGGACGCGTTTTACCACAGTAACACTCATGCTATCTCGCATAACCGAAACAGACGCTAGCCTCCACTTACCGTAACTACATCTTCTATGCGAAATAAATAAGACTCAGATCACAACTAACTCCGGTGATGCCCCAGATCTGCCTCCCTAGTGAAACTGTCAAAACATAAAAGGCAAGCGCAACATGTTCAGTGAGTAGGTAAACCTATTACTTCGGGGGTTTATATCACTGAGTTCAACATTAGGCCTATGTAGTTTTTGAGATGAGTCCTTATCCCAGAGATTACAGCTACACTCTTTGATTGGACCCTAGGTTATCTTACAGGTCAACAGATTCAATCAAAACGCCCTGCACATCGCTCTTCTAGACTAAATAATTTCAAAAAAACCTGACACCCTCCAGACATGCGACATTCTGCACAGTGCATGTCATCTCACAATTTCATTCATGCAACCTACACCAATTAATAAGAGCTGCATACATATGAATGTGCTCACTAGCATAACGGTCTTAAATCTTTGGTTGGAATGGACAGGTAGCATAAGCCTTGTAGAGAATCACGCGGTTAACCAGCTTGGAAGCAATTGACTCCGCCAGTATTACTTGTGTTCGCAGACTGGGGTAGTCAGAACACGTTGACTGTTTGGACTCACTAGTCACCAGACCCGCCGACAGGTACATACTTTCTAAGGAATCTACGGACCATTCCACTAAAGCTAAATCCTAACACTCGGCGTCTGGTACTCATATATTATCACCCGAATAAAAGGGGAGATCTGATCCACATCTCCGAAAAATTATAATTACAACGGGACGACTGACGTTAAACACAGGTGTATTGTTCGTAGAAACGATTAACAATGTATTAGTAACACCAACCCTCACATTACAAAGTTGGAGAAGTACAATCTGGGAAAGTTTTATTACACTGAATTATAATCGTTCGAAAAATCTGAAGTCATATTGGAAAGTGAATTTCATGTTATTCACAGGTCCTCGTCACCTTCATCTGGAAGAGGTGCCTCAGCCGCCATCTGAAGAAATGTCAGAAAGAAAACCGACACACTAACCTGTATTTCCTGTTCGTACTGCTTGACCAAATTGGGATCGATCTGGATTTCCGGAGGCTCCATAGCGGGCATTTCAACAAACTCTAAGTTCGGGTCACCAACCAACTTACGACCAAGCCACAAGAATGGCTTTTCGAAGTTATAATTGGATTTAGCTGATATATCGTAATACTACAAGATATAGGTACTATTTGCAACTTACCTGCAGGTTCTTCTTGCGATGGAAAGTTATGGATTTTGCTTTCACCTTCCTGTCCTGAATATCGACTTTATTACCACATAAAACAATTGGTATGTTCTCGCAAACTCGCACCAAATCCCGATGCCAATTGGGTACGTTTTTGTATGTGACACGACTTGTGACATCAAACATAATGATTGCACACTGGCCCTGTATGTAGTAACCGTCCCTTAGACCACCAAATTTTTCCTGCCCTGCAGTATCCCAAACGTTAAAACGCATTTTTCCACGTGTTGTATGGAAATCAAGTGGATGCACTTCAACACCCAGAGTAGCTGCAAAAAAGTCAGAAAGTATATGTGACTCGTACCAACATATTTCTTCTCAAACTCTCCAGTGATATGGCGTTTCACAAACGTAGTTTTTCCAGTACCACCATCACCAACCAAAACTAATTTAAATACAGCCACCGGGCCCTGATCTACCATAACTGCAAGTCAACAATACAAGTAGGGTTCGTATAGTCCAGTCGACCCTGCCTTAAAATTTGTAACGGGTAGACCTCGCGCTTGTATTCAAGCTGATTTAAACAAGTGAAATGAACAATGTGATACCCAAAATGTGCATATCCACAAATCGAATTATAATCCATATTCCACTTATCTGATTATTCAAAATTCACAAATGCGTAATATTCTTCATGCCTTTATTTTGGCCTGAATGTTATTGTAGAAAATCTAATACTAAAAATAATGTTTTGTTAGGGGATTCCGTCGCAGCGAAGAAAGCCCTAAGATATGTTTTCAATCTTTGGATACCTTCTGCCTTTGAAACCAGTTCAAATTGATTTTTATACACACTGAATGCTGTCTGACTAGAGTGGTACCTATGTTTTCACTGGGTATTTTGATTAATGATAACTTATTTAACTAATTAAGTAAGCTAGAACTATAGGCACTAAAGCTAACCACACTACTACATTTCATAAAAAGGGCTGGCAGTGAAACAGTTTAGGCGTGAAAGTCTGAGTTCGAAGATAGTAGAGCAGAAAATTAAATGCTGAATAACAGGGATAAAAAGAAATTAAGTACTGAGTATTTCCCTCGCTCTCTGTTTTCAGTTTCAGAAAACAGATCGTGAATGAACAGCCTTTACAATTTCGGAACTTGCCGGGATCCACCATCATAGTCTGGTGAGTGGTCTAGATTGGTATCTGAACAATGTGGCATGTAAGTGAAGTCTATGACCAAGACTAATGATTGATGAAAACCTCAGGAACTCGGGAGTTTGAATAAAGTTCGGTGATGCAACTGTTTGTTTAATTACTGTATTGTTAATCATGTTCTTAAGTTGTGCCTTTTTATCCCCCTTACACCCGATATTAGCAGTGATGTACTCAACCTAAATGAGCATAGTATATGTCTTCCGAAAACCGTTTACTAACTCTCCTAACCCTTGCGTGGTTAAAGCCATAGAAAAGTGCAGAAATTTGCCCAGGTGATTAATGACTTCAGCACCCACTATGGAGAAATCGCTATGGGCGTCTGTCCTTAGATTCCTGAAAATAATCTTAAACCAGCAACTGTCAAAATTTTCATTCCTCGGACTGACGTGCTCTTGTTACAACCTTCCCGTTGGACTTGATCAACAAAGAAGGGGCGCATGAGACGTTCATAATAATACTGGAATATACCTATTTGACAAAGGCACAGAATGTAAAACCTGTGATTTATGCATGATCAAATGGCGATTAGCCTTCAAACGCATCTTTGCACAATGAATATGCACTACCTTTCTGGTGGATGCATTATGAATTCATCCTCATTTACTCAAAAACTCTATTCTGGAGTAGTTACCTGAATTTTTCTATGACTGAAGGCCGTTTTAGTTTCTAGTAACAAGCCAGGCCGTAAATATATTGACATGTTTTGATTTGAGAAAGCCAGACCATGCTGACCTTCGGAATGATGCATTCGACGGTAAAATCAGTCTCGTTCAATTTTAGCTAGCTTTCTTGTGGAATAGGCCTTCAGTTACTATAGTTTGAATAATTTTCTTAGTGGACATTCACGTCATGCTTCGAGGACATAAAACCCTATGATTCCATCACATCTCCCCTTGATACATATTTCTTGCATTTATTCAAGTTGGCTAGCCAAATCCGCTTTTTGTGTACTGTAGAGTATAGTCATGTAGACAGTTGACCAGTGAATATTGACATCCATGGCGCAAGTTTCGTGCAGCCTGGAGGTTTCCGAAAAAGTGACTCTGTCATCTACGTAGCGTGAAACCTAGACGTTGGTCTCTTGATCCGCTTCTTTTACCTCAGTAGCGACAGACGCAGCGCAATTTGTTCCCACATATCACGAATTCTCCAAAAACGCACGCTTATATTATGAATGACAGAAGTTTTTCAGATTAACTGATTGTACACAAATATCCTACTTTCAAGACCCAAGAGGCCTCACTATTTTTCTCATTTCGCTGGGCACCTCACACTCAACTATGGAAAACCCCACAATCGTCATTTTGACTATGCGTCATCCTCAGTGTTCCGTCGAACCATGTGTATCTTTGATATAGCAATAGAACTTGTGCATTGTGACAGAGTATAATTCCATTGCGTATAAAATTTGTTTCGATAAAATTTCAGTGTTATACGGTCGTATTTGTTGATCACGTTCCGAGCACAATTTATTGCTCACAATCATATAAAGGTTGTGTGGGTACCTTGATGTGATTTTGAGCAATAGATGTTGCTCGAAGCGTCATCAGTAAACACTAACTTATGACACGTGTGTGCGTGTGTGTCTGGTGGTACCTATATCTTGCCGTCCTACAGTCTCTCACTGACTGATTTTAGCCTCAACCAGATTTGAAGCCGAAATCTACACTGAGTATTATCGCATAAATAACTCGGAGTTTTCTTTTCTCGCAAAAAGCAATGACCTTCATCGCAGATAAGAAAGAAGGGCAAGAATGGCCGCTAAGAGTGCAGGAGAAACGAGGGTAAAATATATGACTGTGTTTTCAGTAGATTTCAGTGTTTCAATCCTTCCCTCGCAGAAAGAATTTCAGCTCTAAATACGACGACCTCAATGTGCGCATATTCAACTACTGAGACGGGAAATGCAGAATAAGAACCAGAAATTAATGGTTACTCACAAACGCGGCCTTATTGTAGTGACGATTTTGGATATTTTAGTGAATCAATTGGACCAATAAATTTTCATAGTGGTTGGTTTTTAAGTTTCTCTAAAAGTTTCTTTCTACTGTTAACTTCGAATTGCACTGATTTAGTCATAAATCAATCCAGTAATATTATATACCGAGCAAGAAGATGGCAGAGTATATGAAACTGTATTTATCTAGAACACTGGGAGAATAAAGTGAGAATATTAAGGCGAATACACTGCAATGCGTTCATCAATGAACTACAGCCAAGTCTTACAAGTTTTAAGAAGAATGTCAAATCCATAGTTCACACCGAACTGTTAACCATCGTCGTACAGAGTTTTCCAGCCATAAATCTCCTGTCAAGCTCTTATGTTTAGTGTGAAACCAACTCAGTTAACGTCGTTTAGCGGCATCTTTCTGCTTTGGTGGACATATGGCCAGTTGAATTCGAAAGGTAAGCCCAAGTATTGCCATGTTATTTTGTGCCATTCGTTTTACTTGCACCTATCCTCCGTTCATCATGGGCCTGTCTTCAGTAAAATGCTTCACGCCACTAGTTTCGATTCGCCGGTGGTCCCTTCTTAAGTCTCCGTTTGTTGAGGACACATGAAGTCTTTTTGATGTAGTTGTGTTCTCTGGGTTGGACAGTTTATTTGCGAAGCTTTCATTACCTTACTAGGCAAGGTGATAGTGGTTTTGCTAAATTTCAAAATCATCTAAGATTAGACAGCAGTTTTACTTCTGTAACTATAGCTCCAGACAAAACACAGTGTCAATGCAGAAAAATGAATGACAATAATTTCGTCATCTCTTCGAATTTAGACTCACCTGAGGTAGATTTTTTACCGGGACTGTCAGATGGCACAGACAGTAGCACTGAGAAATTTGCTAAACCGACATGCCTGCCAATGGGACTAGAGAGCCGTTTCGTTAAAGCTGTCGCTGGAGATAAATCTTCACAGCAAGGTATTTAGATAGCCAGTACTATCGTAAGTGGTCCTAAGAAAGGTTCAGCTAAACACAGTGACCACAGTACGACGAACAAATCCCTCAGGAGTGAATCTAAAAATGAGGCGGAATACTTAGTATTCAACAAGCACACTGAAAATAAGTGTGACAACAAAACCGTGCTAATTAATAAGGAACCTTCTATAAACTCAAATGGGTGATGTTTCTCAACATATTTCATCTTCTTGGTACTTAGGCTTCAAAAATAACAGAATTCTGCAACCGAAGCAACTTCGTTCACAATATTCTTCTGGTTACAAAATCGACAGCGAGATACCTAGTTGTTTGCCGGATAACGGGCTGATGTGAAGATCTTACAATTTTATACCTCGTAGCCCGAAATACCACTACATCTACATCCAGGGAGAGCATAAACGAAAGATTTTAAGAGGCTCGAATCGCCACCACCTCGTCTCTCTGCAACGTCCATATATGGGCACCACTTCTTTTTCACTCATAAACACTACCGGTAAGAACACACAGAGAATTAGGTTATGGTGATGTTTTAATTCAATTTGTAATTTGTCTCAATTTAATCAAGATAACACCAATTAATGCACGTTCCCTAGTCGATAAGATATCTGAAATAAGAGCACAAATATGACTCGCGAGGCACAATGCAATACTGATAGCTGAATCACGATGCACGTCCTTTATCCTTGGTGTGCCTTTAGTTATACAAAGCTACAGAGGTTCTGCTGTGCTAATTTATATGTTACATGAGTGAGCTAATGCTTATGCGCCGTCTAATAGCGGTCACTATGTTTTCTAATAATTGCAAGCACGTAAACTAGTCATCGTCCTCTGCTTCCGTATATAACAAGGGCATTCGATATGGTATCTCACAGTATTCACTTTGAGAAGATGTACCCAAGTGGAATTCGAAATCCATCACTTAGCTGGTAAAGTCATTTATAAGCAACAAGGTACAAATGAACATAATCGGATCTGTATTTTCTTACCCTAGGCAGATCAAAAGCTGGGTTGTGCAGGCTAATCTTTTAGCATCAATTCTATTTTTGGTCTAAATTAGCAGCTGTCAAAGCAGTTGAACATTGAACGATCAATTCTTGGTTGTTTGCTCAAACCAACTTCCCCAATTTTCGCGGAGGCATCAATACGACAGTCATCGTCTCATCGGTCGCTGTTCAGAAAGAAGAGTAAAACATCGTCAGAAGTAATATTATGATTTATTATTGTAATATTTGTTCACAGACCTTAGTCATACTTGATTTATATGTTGGTGTAACAATACAGAATACTCAAGTCAGCAATTGGCGTTTTGGTTTTTTCGTCCGTTGTT